ACAAATGGATAAAGAACTGAGATGCTCAGGTATGCCCTCATGTAAAGTGCTAGAACCTTGTATCATTGCACATAATGGCTTGGGGAAGACAGGGGAGCATTTTGGGCACTGGCAACAAGAAGCAGCACCCATACACCCCCCTTCTCACCATAAAAGAAGACAGTCAGGTATCTTTTATGTCCTGAGAGCAGAGGTCAGCCTCTGAGCAAGGGAGGTCACTGTCAAAAATGGGCTTCAGAACCAAATTATGTCCCTCATGACATTGGTTTGTAGTGCAGAACCAATTTGAAAATGTGGCATGATCAGCAGTCTCGCCCCAGGAGAGACCGGGACCAGTGGAGAGGCATGTCATAAATCAAGGCTCGGTTGCCCTGAGTGGGAGCCCCGGCTGGACTAGGCCAGGCAGCTGTAAGGCGGGATTGAGATGCATTGGCAGAGCTGTGACGGTGACCCCCAGAATGAAATAATTGGGGTTGGGGGAGGTGCACCGTGGGTCAGACTGAGGGGTTGTGGAAAAATATATGGGGGAAAGAGCTTTCAAAAGGCCTGCCTAGACAATGACAGGCTTTGGTCAGAGTTAATTATCTGCCATATTAGAAGCACTAAATTCACTTTTAAAGGAGACACACACATGTACAAACACACACAGAAGTCACACAAATACACAGGCACCAAAAGAAGGAAAACCCTCTCGAGAGAAAGCAAAGTACACTACAGCACAGCAAAAACAATAGATCCCAGAGGTAAAGGCTATTGAAACTTAAGAACTTCATTTCAAAGCAAACAATGCCCTCTAGAGGCGTGAAGACCACATGCAGGTGAAGTCAAACAAAAGAAGTTCCTGAGGAGGTGACCCTCTGGCTTTGGAGGAGCTCATGCATTCCCTCTTTTAACCTAGTGTCCATCATCACGTTGTTGGTGTGGGGTAATTGGTGACACTATGAAGAAACCAATGGAATGCTGCCATGGGAAATTTCGGTAAAAAAAATACTATAAAGAGGAGACTTCAGGGCACTTCGTAGAATAAGAAATAATTTTGGAGCCTATATTGTAAGGTATTTGGTCAATTTCCTCAATAAATCTGAATTCAAAAATTATCTCACAAGCACCAGACAAACTATAAAAGGCTGTTGCGAGAACATCAAGACAATGCTTGGGTCAATGAGTTCCCACCGTGAGTCTCTCAAGAACCAGGATTGCCTTCCGCCCCTTTCCTGAGCCCTAGCTTCAGTGGCCACAAGTTCCAGGCCCCTCCCTACCAATGCCTCTCTCACCACTCCATTCTCCTCAGCTCTCCCTGTCTGGCAAGAGCAAAAAGGACCAGAGCTTCAAATAACCAGATGTGACCTCAAATTCAAGTCCACTGGCATCAGGCCACATGCAGGGTGATCTGAGCTTCAGTTATGTTGTCACAGAGAAGCCATGGCTGACAATGACCTTCTCCTTCTGCTAGTGGGAAAGGGCCAGAGACATAGTAGCAGAAGGTGTCTTACGTTGGTGTCCGACAAGAGTCATTACCTCCTCCTTCCTCCTTCCTTCCCATGGAGAAATAGCAGCAGCTCCAGTCACTAATCTCTTTCACACTGCATACCAAACACCTCCAGACAATGTACCCGAGTCACTGTCACCTGGCCAACCCCTAGCTTCACCATCATCATCTGAAGTATGAATTCAAACTTCTCAAACATTTAAAGCTCCTTCAATCCATTTACTGTCTCACCGTTCAGTTCACTCCCTGTCTGGAACATTCTAAGTCAGGCTGACCAACCACTTGCCTCTCCAAGTATACCACATATGTTTTCTTCCTTACTGTCTCCATTGGGGAAATTATGTGACACATTTCCTGTCCAAGATTCAAGTTCTACCATCTTTCTGGGTCACACTCAAGACCTGTCTTTGCTGAGACTTCTCTAGCTATTTCTAGCCTTTGATGATATCTTGACCAGTGTGGTCTCTGGAATATTGCATAAACCTATTTGTAAGTGCTGGAATTGAACAGAGAGAGCCCAGGACCTTACACGTGCTAAAAAAGTGATCTGCCACTACTCAGCGCCTTTTTGTGCCTCATTAATTTAAAAATTAAAAAGATATGAAGAATGATACAGATCTCTAAATAGTGACGTGGAGAGATGACTTTCATTGGAGACTCAAAGTAATAAATGTGACATATATTTTCTGAGCCATTTCTGTTTTTAAAGAGAAAGCATACACACACACATCTGTACACGTTTATACACACACACAGTTACAATACATAACGATGGTCGGTGATTTCCACTTTTTAAACATTCTGTGTTGTTTGGCTTTTTCCCACTTTGTCTGTATTTACCTTTTGATTTTAGAAAATGGCATTTTTTCAAATAAATCAACAAACATTCACTGCCAAGCATTGATTTAATTGTTAGGAGGGCTCCAGGGTGGTCTTAACTTTCTACAGAATTAACATCTGGGGGAAAACCCAACAGAAGCCTGAGACAGGAATATGCAAAGAACTATGAGCTTAGGAGTCAAAGTCAAGGGAACTCTGAGACACAGAACGACAGCTTTGTTGGAGGCAAAGCAACCAGAACCAGGCAAAAGAAAACCACAGCAGTCTTGACATGAGGTCGAGTGAGTGTCTGTTGAGTGGAAAAGGAAACACTGGGCCTTCTTGGTGGAGGGAAAGTATGCACAAAAACAAAGTGGTGTTTGGGTATTGGCTTGTTGAGGGATAAGCAAGCAATGTTGTATATGCAAAGAATACCAGATAAGGAAAAAAATAAGGACCTAGAGTCTGGAGCAATGGCTCTCAACATTCCTAATGCTGTGACCTTAGACTTTAATCCAGTTCCTCATGTTGTAGTGACCCCCAACCATAATTATTTTTTGCTACTTCATAACTGCAGTTTTGCTACTGTCATTAATCATGGTGTAAATTTCCAATATGCAAGATACCCGATATGTGACCCCTTGTGAAAGAGTGATTCAGTGCAAGGGCTTTTGACCCACAGGTTGAGAACCACTACCTTAGAGTCGTATTTCTCTCCCTTTAACTATGTCATTCTGGATGCAGGTGTCAGGGTGGTGACTCTAGACAGGCTGGGATCTTACTGTAAAGACTGCAGTAACAGGAACTCAAGTGCCTTCCTGAGTCACTTCTCACTTTCTTTTTGAGAAAGCTCTCACTGAACCCCAAACCCACTTAGACTGGTCTGCTAGCTAGCTCCCAGGATCCTAGAGTCTCCACCCACTAGGGTGTTACAGGCTTTGCACAACTGTAGATCCTAACTCCAAGAGCTCAAGCCTGCACAGTAACTACCTTCCCCAGTGAGCCCTCTCTGAAACCCAGACATTTACATAACAGCAAGCAACAGACAGCGTGAAGTGTGTGTGTGTGTGTGTGTGAGAGAGAGAGAGAGAGAGAGAGAGAGAGAGAGACAGAGAGAGACAGAGACAGAGAGAGAGAGATAGAGAGAGAGACAGAGAGACAGAGAGAGAGAGAGAGAGAGAGGTGGTCATTTATTTCTTGGTATTACTGTTGAATGATTTCACATGTATGCTGACTTTTCTGTATCTATTGTGTATGCTTCCAAGAGAGCAGCAGAGGAAGTTGGAAACCTGTGCCAAGCCAGAGCAGCGGCAGAGACCTGAACACACTTTTCATGAACAGAGTGGAAAACTGTGCTGATCTGGGATGTAAATGCTGTAGGCAGCCTGGGCTCCGGGACACAGCATTTATTTCTCAGTGCTATTCTCTGAGTGATCAGTGGAGGAAGGTCCCCTGCATCTTGCCTTCCTCTTCTTACCCACCCCAGTCCCCAAAGGGACACGCCCCCTCCCCCTGCAGAGCTCACCCCACAGGGGCAGCTTTTGTGAATGTGCCTGAGAGATGGCAGCTTGGCCCACAGAGCATCCACATGGCTCCTGATGATAACACCTCAAGCAGGAAAAAAAAAAGACAAACGGTTTTCCGCTGATGGCAATGTGTACAAGCCGGCTGAGCTGCTTGGCACAGCCCCTGCAGCTGTGTATTCGTGATGTTATACGTAAGCCAGAAAAAGGAAGGTGGGGCGGAGGGGGGGCGTTCAACGATGTAATCAATACAGGCTGAAATTCGGTTGACCCACTCAAGTATTTCTCTCTCGCTGCCTATCTGCTCCAAGAGAAGGGGGGGTGGCTTCTTGCCCTCTAGATGTAAGCCTCCCCTCAAAAAAAAATTTAAACCCCCACTGTGCATAAAAACAGGAACAGATTCAGCCTCGTGCGGTGTCACTTGGCTGCAGTTCCCATGTGCTCCCAGGATGATTTCTGCGGCAAACCTTCCCAGTGTGTGGAAGGGAACCAGACTTGTGGCTCCCACTTTAGAGCCGGGTGATGGGGCATGAGGGCACTGGGGTGGGGAGTGGAACTACTTCACAGAGTTGAATTTAAATGAAAACAGCGAGTCATGGTGCTGATGTAGTGAGAGAAACGTGTCTGCCACCACAGAGCGGGGCCTCTCATCTTCTAGTCTTCTACACTACCAAGGGCTTAACTCTAAACCAAGCAGACCTGCAGGCCCTCTCCTTCCCTCCTTGAACATTGTGACTAAAGCTAGGGTCTGATTATGTTGTCTTCTTTTCTCCCTTCTTCAGACACCACGAGATGAATAACCAAAACTGAGCCTGGAGTTGGTTAAAAAGAATTAAGGCAACCTGGCAACATTTCAATACTTAGTCTTAAAATTTGGGCTGAGGATGAATTAAATGAAGATGGTTCTAAGGACTGGAGAAACCGCTCAGTGGGTGAAATTGCTTGCCATGCAAGCAGGAAGACCTGAGTTTCTATTCCACAAAAAGGGGCAGGGGCAGGTGCGGTCATTGCTTCTAGCCCCAGCTCTGTAAGGGGGATGGCTGGGGCTTGCTGGCCTCTGAATGCTCACGCACAGGTGGTTTAGTCGAACCTGCTCATACGGTACATACAAGCTGACCCAACAGCCAGGCATCCTTCTCCTCTACTGAACCATTTTATCATCTCTTTATTTTGAAGCGTTTCAGCAAACATTCAATAGTCAGGACCAGAAAGGAGCTGGAAGGTGATATAACAGAGCCGCCATCTTTAGGAAAAGTAGACTATTGGAAGTATGGAACTTGAAAGGCCCCAGAGGGTGAGTGGCAGTATGGAGACATGATTCAGCACCTAGCACTTACTATAATAGTATCCACACACCCTTCCAGGCCCCTCTACACCGCTGATTGGGAATACCTTTGTAAGCATGCTTGCCTTCATTGCCCCAGAACAAGAAATCGCTAGCTCCATCCTTCACAAAGAAAGTGGCTCAGATATACATGTGTAGTAAGCAGCTTTCTGCATCTTGAACACTATGGAGTCATTCATTCAGAATGGATTCTTGTAGGTGGAGTTTTTGTCCCACCTGGTCCCACAGCCATTTAGCCCCAAATAAACACACAGAGATTTATATTAATTATAAACTGTTTGACTTATGGCTTAGGCTTCTTATTTGGCTACCTCTCTCGTAATGATTAATCCATAACTATTAATCTATGTATTTTTGCATGACCTTATCTTACCGGAGAGTGCCCAGTGTATTATATCCCCATGGCTATGTAGCATCTCTCTATCAGCTCACTCTCCTTGTACTCTCCCCAGAATTCTCCTCATCTGGTATCCCTGCCCATACCTCATGCCTAGCTACTGGGCAATCAGTGTCTCGTTAAACCAATAAGAGAAGCATACATACAAAAGGACATGCCCTTCAGATTCTGGAATGAATTATCCAATTTTGGTGAAATGATTTCCCTTGTTCTTCTAGGGCTCTGATTAGGACACTTATTAATTACCCAATGGTATGGTTTTATCACGGATGTTTTCCCTGACTCAAATATTTCCCTAAAACCATCCAAGCTCTTCTTCTCATAATATCATCTCAAAGCTTATTTAAAAAAAATAGGTCATTGATTACAGATAGACTGCTAGAGATCAGATCACCCAGCACATTAGCAACCTACTAGGTTAGCAATATTTAGCAGAAAGGAAGGGGCAGAGACCTGGTAGGAAACAGGTATCCCCAAAGCCTCTGGTTCCACCAAGTTTCACTTAGGAAGTAATTGTAAAGCAAACCCTCATCTTGTTCCAATTGAGGAGCTAAGTAAGCAAAATTTACATGTAATAAAAGAGAAAAGGGGGTCACCCAGCAGGGGCCCTTTCTCTACCCTGAATCCCAGTCAGGGTGTGTGATTTTCTCACTCTGTGCACACCAGAAGTGTTTGATGTGACACAGAACTCTTCTCTTTAGGTTCCAGGAGTTTTGGCATGTCTTGGTAGAAATGTTAAGGAAAAAATAGCAAGTTGCAGAGATTCGCCAGTCTTCTGGAACCCTTGCTGAATTTGCAATCTCTAACTAGGCAAGAAGAAACACCATAGCAAATGCAGGCTGTGAATTTTTGGTTGATGAGTTGGGGTTCATTTGCTTAGCAGAATTGTTAGTGAAGATCAGAACTCTCTCCAAAATAATCTCTAATGGGAACAAAATGAGAGAAGAACCACTATGTCCATCCATTCTTTCCAACCTTGTCTTGGATGATGTTAGCAGCATTCAAAGGGAGACAAGTCTCCTTCAAAAGCGACTATGCTTGATGAAGATAAGAAACTAAGACGAAAAAGAAAACAAAATCCAATTACTGTCAACAACTAACTAATTAGGTAGGCATTTACTCAGTGAAAATTCTTATCTACTAATGCTAAACAACCATTTACAATACACTGGAGAACAAACCTAGGAGAGTGACTGTATAGAATAAATATAAAATAATAAATGCCTGACATGTAAGTCTGAGTAGGCTGGATCCGAAATTTTCTGCAACTTAACCTAAAGATCCCAAGTCCATCCCCCATGAGGCCAATCTCCTCCATTCACAGCTACCCTCCCTATCTGATCTTCAGATCATTACAGAGGAGCAAGAGAGGGCTGTAGGGCAATGCTATTAAAAGCCAGGCCCAGACTGTGTTGAGCTGCCTCTACTTCCTCTCACCAAGCAAGCAGCAAGCACCTATTAGCTTCTAGAGACACATAAAGACAGGAATACACAGGGATGTCTGAGGAGAACTAACAGTTGATATGTGATTATGGAAACTGAAACATCAGACGTCATAAAACTTGGGCTTTCTCAGAGGGGATAAATAAAAGGCACAATTAGCTTCTAGAATTCTCCCTATCCTAGCAACAGTGGGTGAGGGAGAGCATCCTGCTTCCTAGTCCACTCATTCTCTGAATGACAGGGCTACTGAGCAGCATGCCAGCACACATATGCCTTCTGCCTGGTTATTCCCACTGAGTCACTCTTTTCTCATGATTTAGATTGAGGTCTCCCTCAGGACCCTGAATATTTCTCTCCAGTTACCCACCATCTCAACAGATTGCTTGCAGATTTTTGCATATAGCACACATTGGTCAGCCTGAACTAGATGCCACTCCACCTTGGGAATGCAGAGCAGAGGACTCGGTTTCCCCTCTTACACATCAACAGAGTCATTTCTGCCTTCTGTTTGCACTGTCTCCCCAGCCAAGGATGCCCCTTTTCACTCTCTTTGTTCTCAAGTCCTACAGCAAGTCTCTGAATGTTCATGCCTGTTTACTCATGGTGGGCCAATTCATTTATTACCACGATTTTTCCAAAATATTTCCATTTCTTCCTTTATCAGGAAGATGTAAACTACTTGAAAGCATTGGAACTGACCAGGACTCCTCTCTCAGTCCTACATTGCCTTCACTGGTATTTTTGTGAGGAATCAGCTCTCCTGAGTCTCCAAGGAACTCGAAGCCTCTTCCCTTACATGACTCTGGGGAGTCAGATGTGCCCATTATTTTTCCCTTAAATGGGGAAGCCCCAGAATATCCCAAGGTCAATGGTGGAATGAAACCAGAAGCAATCAGTTAAAGAGGGGAGGGTGATGTTTAAAGTGGTCACACCTGAGCTTTGAAACTTGTTAGAACTGGATTCAGACAATGGCTTTACTTTGTGAATTGGGTACTCACCAGTAGCTCCTCCTCAGACAGTGCTTTCTTGTCAGGATGTAACAAAGGGCATTGACTTTCCAATGGCTATTTGAGCCTCAGAGGAAGATCACCATCTAATCTCTGGTAGCTTTCAGATGACATGGTCCAAGTGAAGAGTAGCCACACTGTGTAACCAAAAAGTACTGAATTATTGGCATACAACCAATATTCACCAGTACAATAAATGTAATCGTTCACTGAGCCCACGAACATTGTTGGAACATCTGGAGAAAACTAGCAGATTAATGATTCGAAAACATCAATCTATACATAGACCGCCTATTAAAACTGCACTTTCTGATCCACTGGGTCGGGAGTGGGACTGGCTTTCTAACACATTCCCAGAATTTGCTCGAGGGTCCAAGCTCTGAGAGGCAGAACAGCAGAGTACACAGTCATTGACTTTTCCCGACATCCCTGCCCTGTGATCCACTTACTTGCTAGTGACCCTCAGAGATAATGCTTTAATTGACACTGAAAATTTCTCTTCAGGAAGACTGAGATGGACCAAATAACAGACATGGGAAGGTTGACATGCCTCACATTGATACTTCCTGAGTGATGGCACTGTTGTCCTCTCTACAACTGTGACATATTTAAAAGCAACTGTATCACCTCAACAATATCACATGTTCATCATCTTTCAAATTACTTGTCACACATCTAGTAGATTCTCAGCAAATATTTATCAAACACAAATGAAGTCCTCCTTGGCATGCACTGAAATGCCTAATGCACACAGCAGGCACTCAATAAAAGCTTGTTGAGTGAATTAATAAAGCTGGAAAGAAAGTAATGACTACAGTGCTGGGTGGAGGAGAATGTTATTTCTCATCAAATTCATCTGAGCAAGATCACCTCTTAGAGCTTGATGGGCAGTGGGGGAAATAGCACTGATGTTAGACAAAGTCCTTGGAAATGAGTAGGCCTCAGCTGACAATCCAAATTGGTTTGGGTACCATCTGGTGCTATGATTGAAGCATTTTTCATGCTCACTAATAAAGAACTCAGGCTGACTTTGGGGAGGACTGGGTCAAACCAGTGACTTCTGAGATCTAAGCATGGAACTAGCTTGCAGTGATTTACAGAGGGCTGGGGACTTGGGCTGCCATTTCACTTGCCCATCTCCAGGGACTTGGCCTGTGAGAAAACAAAGCTGAGCTCCAGGGAATAGCTCCAGAGCCTCAGCCTTGGGTGAAGCCCACCAGGGAGTACCTGACTGTGAGGCTGGAGCCAGTGAAAGGCTCCCTTCTCTATATTTGGCTCATCAAAAAGAAGCTCCGTGGCTTGAGTCCACCAGCTTCCTGCAATCTCCAACAGCAGAACAGCTCTGGGTCCTGCCGACAGGCAAGGGAACAAACGAGGGGCAAAGCTGCCAAAGCTAAGAACAAAAGATGGCTTGCATTGCTGGAGTTGCACGGGATGTAGCCTAGGAGCTCTGCTTTCATTAAAAAAAGAAAGAAAAGAGCATTTGGAGTCTGGGATACAGAGGACAGAAGAGAATTATTATTCTCTATGAAGAAAGCCAGGGGTGCTGGAGGGCAGATCCCAAGCAGAAGTATGTTTAAAGATACAACAGCTCTCGAGTAACAAGACATTGGAAGTTTATTTGGCTTCCTTCCATCTCCATGCTCCCTTGTTTAAAGATGTTCCGCAGATACCTGCAGAGGTCATCAGGGCTTGTCTGAGCCCTCTTGTTTCCTTATGTTTTAAGTTCTCTTTTTGCTCTTTGTCTGAAATGAGCTAAGGCAGTGGAATGGCTGGAGACAAAGAGATGGATACAGATAAAAGCTAAAGTCATCCCTTAAAGTTTAATGAGCAGCCCAAGCTAAAGTTCAATGACTAGCCTTAACCAGCACAAGGTTAATAACCCCCAAATCCTAAATCTAAAGATGGTCCAAAATCTGAAATTTTTTGAAAATTATCTGATAAGTTAGAAAGCTTGGGGTTTCAAATTTTGAGTTTTGGGAAACTCAACCAGTAAAATCCATACAAAAATGCCAAAATTTTGATCCATGAGATGGTTAAGCCTGTAAAGGCAGTCGGCATCAAGCCTGCCACTCAGTTCTGTCCCCCAGCCCTCACACAATGGAAGGAGAGAACCGACTCCCAAAAGTTGTTCTCTGCCCTTCACACGGACACCATCCTCTGTGGCATAACAATACTTGCACACATAATACAAAAATAAGTTGAAATGCAATTTTTAATCACCCAATTTGAAAACCTCTGGAATCTAATAACCACTGACATTTTAAAGATGAGGAAACTATAAAACTAGAGGGTCAAGTAACTATCACAGATATTTTAAAAAAATAATAAACCGTAAGCCCAGGATTGGAAACCAATCATTCTGACTTTAGAACCTGTCTTAAGTGATGTGTTGCCTCTGTGAAAGAACAGCACACCTTAGACACCTCCTTCTGCTTCGTGCATGGAATCCAGTTCTGGGGCACATTGCTGCATGGTTTCAGGGACACCCTTACCCAACAGCATTGATATATCATACAAAGTTCTGTGATGCCAGAAGGAGACACAAGCTTAACCCCTGCCTCTATGCCCCTACAACCACCCCAGATCATCTCCCATCCAGTCCACACTGCCCTCTCCCCTGCCTGGTTCCAGCATATATTTTCTATACTTCATTTACTTCAATTGGTTTTACTGTTAAAAATCTATATGATTATTCTCACATTTTACTGACACCCAAAAATTCCTCAAAAAATAGAGAACATGGAAATATCTCTTGTATCTGTATTTCTCTCCAAAACACAGGAGAGATAAACAAATGAACAAACAAAACTACCATTTTTCTCTATTTTCCTTCTAGTATCTTGACCTTGAGTAAAAAGTGACATCATGTCGGTGGCCTGTTCTGCTGCTGAGGCTATGATGATGTTCATGATCCATTCTGTGTGATGTCTGTGGTCTGTGCTGCCACTAGAGGCCATGTGGATGTCCATGGTCTGTGCTCCCACAGGAGATCACATTGATGTCTGTGGTTTGTATTACCACTGAAGGCCATGTGGATGACCATGGTCTGTACTGCCACCTAAAGCCATGGTGATGGTGTCCATGGCCTGTTCTGCCACCAGGGGCTATGATGGTGCCCATGGTCCATGCTGCAGCCAAGCGTCTCATTGATGTCTGAGGTATGTACCCCTGAAGGAGGCTATGATGGAGCCCCATAACAACAATTCTACCTAGACTGTGGTAACACCACTAAGCTAACAAACACCACACAAAGATCAGCTTTGAACTACAAACTGTTCAGGACAATTTTGGCTGTCTGAGATGGTTCAGCCTCACAGACTACTTTAGCCAGGACCTGAGACAAGCCCTATACTTTCCCATTACACAGAGACTGGACAACAAATGATATAGCTAGTTCTCCCAGGACTTGACAAATATCGCAATTTTCTCAGGTTCCCCTAAAAATGCTGTTGTCTGGAGACAACAACAAGTAATTTTAAGAACACAACACCCACATTTCCAAGAGGTAGGGTAAGTGATTTTTGGTTGTTTAGTGGGTTGTGGATGGTTTGTCATCATTTAGGGGATTGTTTATAAGTTGTTATTGGTAATGATCGAGAAAAAGCTGAAAAAAGGAAATTAGATTTGGGAATCTCATTCTGAAAAGAAAAAGGGGAAATATAGAAATGATAGGTCAAAAGGGAAGATTATTGAATCTACCTTTAAATCAAAAAAGCAGCTACTTGTCTTAAATATATTTGTGTGGTTGATTGCATAGCATCTGGTGTCTTGGAATCTTGTGACTATGAATATGCTTCCGAAGGGCTCCTGAGGACTGATTATGTTGAAAAAATTTAAAAACCCACCTTTCAACTTTTGCTGGACTCTGACAACAGGAAAAAGAATTACAAGAGAACAAGGTGACATTAGGCAAGCAAGTTAATGGAAGACAACACCAGTGTCAGCCGTGGCTAACTACGGTATAAAGTGCCTCTCCATTTGGGTTGAACAATGACAGTTCTTCAAACTATAGTAATTTGATTTCTATATCTAAAGTAATTTCTTTTTCTAGATCTTGCCCTCTGTTCTCTATTGAAGTCTTGTAATGGCCAGCAGGAAAGTTATTATCAATGCATTACATTCTCTTACTTACCCCTCAATTTATTAGCTTAGTTATCCTCCTCACACAATGGCCAACTGCATTTCAATCTTCTTCCTCTTTTCCCTGTCTCCTCCTTTTTTTGTCCTATAACTACCTAGCCTGTATGAAGAAGGTGAGTTTGAACTAGAGAACTCCCTTCTGCATGGACACTTTAAGTAAGAAGTAATCTTCAGAATATCTATTCACTCACCTATATCCTTACAAAGACTATTAAACATCCTATCATCTCATTGAAGATTTCATTTTCCTTTTCTCATCCCATCTTTGGTCAGGTGGATCACTGATATCAAAGTCAAAAGAGAACTCAGAATCCTTTAGTTCAATTTCCCATTTGATGGAAGGACATTGAGACTTAGCAAGCTCTAAGGGGCCCCTGGGCCAGCACAGGTCATACCTGTAAGTCACACTCCAGGACTTCTCATCTTACCAAGATGCTCCTTAAGAAGTGATGTCTTCATTTTCTGTTTTCACCCCAGGGCCAGTATTCTCATCAGCACTGTTAATATACTTGGAAGCTAGCCTGGTGTGCCATGGAGTAATAGCTTTGCTCAGCAGCAGCTTCCTTTGAGTCATTCTCCCTTTAAAAAGAGGAATGTCTACTTGGCTCTCCTCCAAGGATTCTTGGAGAAGACCTTCTACTTGGAGTACTCAGAAGATAGGGTCCAATCCATGCATTATGCTTGCTAGCATGTAGAATTAAGGGTGACTTGCTAATAAACACCAATGATGGTTTTGAATTGTCTCCTGTATAGGTCTTTGAGAATAGATGAGGTGATGCCAGCCTTTGCCTCCTTGAAGTAGGTTAGATGTTAACTGGCTCGGGAAAATGGAAGGAATTGAAGTGACATTGGTACATTCAAATCCCAAAAAAAAAAATAGATAAATGTTTTCTCTCATATGTAAATGTTAGCTTTCATTCTTTAGCTGTGTGTCTATTGCCTGTTAAAGACTGTCTTCAGAGTATAGCCATGCAGCCCCCTCTACAGTTTCTTC